ATCCTAACTCATAAAAGAATATTTCAGAAGAAGAATCATGTACTAAGAGCAAGTAATAAAAGAGATATTAACACACAAAGTAGGATCTACCTACTGTGGTTTCACAGTTTGGACACCTAAAGTGTTTTAGGTGTTTGGAGGTCAAAACTCCATATTTTCATGTGATTCTACTTTCATGCAGAAGATAACTCATATAGTTAACTTTCAAAGGAAGAATCATCCTTTTTCATCGAGTTTTGAATGAGATATGGTCATTAGAACATGCATATACAAATCTGTCAGTTATGAACAGATTGCTTACTCATTTTGTTTTGAGTAGTTGAAACCTCAAATCACCATATTTTTGAATGAAATCAGTGGCATGTGAAAGGTAACTCATTAAATTAACTTCCGGAAGAAAAATTGAATGATTTGGATGATTATTTAGAGAGTTATGGTTATTTAAGATAGGGTTTACCTACTGAAAAACTCCCAGATGCACATGCATCTTGTTTTGAGTATTTGGGGAGTCAAAACTCAATGTTTTTGAGTGAGACCAATTGGATTAAAACCCCAACTCAATAAATGAACTTTTAGAGGAAGATTCATGACATTTGAACATATTATTTGCAATAAATGGACGATTTATGCACATGCATGCAATCTGTCAGCACTTAAAATGCAAGAAAAATGGGTTCTTCCCCCAAAGTTTGCAAAAAAAAGATGGAGATGAAGTTGTTACCTTGATTGATGATGAGAAGGATGTAATATCTTCAAAATCCTTGCTATTTTGATGGAGAAATATGAAGGAATTGGCTGGAGTATGAAGGATGAAGGAGGTAATCTTGAGAGACTCTTGAGTTTAGAGAGAGAGAGAGAGGGAGTTTCATAATTTGAAAACTAAAAATGAGTTGTAAATGGAGAAAATAAAGATATTTATATATGGATTTTAGGATGGAGAGGGGGGTGGCCGACCATGGAGGGGGGCCCAAGCCCAAAAATATATATATTTTTTATTTTAATTAAATTTAAGCGCCAAAATTGTTAAAATGTCATTTTTCTCAATTTTGACATTTTTTTTCAAATTATAAACCCATGATGGTTAAATTCATTTAAATAAAAAGTTTTATATTTAAAACACTAAAACTTTGTGTTTTATATAAATTGGGTATAAATTGGAGCATTTGGCACTATATAGGACGTTTCAGATAGTTACGGGTCGGAACCGGACTTTCTAAGCAACTACCGGAAACTCTAGAAAATTTTCGGTCAATCTAATCTAACTAACTCCTAATCTTATAAATTATCTTTAATAACACTAATATAAAAATAATAAGAGCTAACCTAGAAGCTCAAATTTGACAGTTGTCACAGTCTCCCCCTGATAGAGAAATTTCGTCCCGAAATTTAATGACTGCTACTGCCAATGAATTTCTCTGCAAACAAATGCGGATATTTGCCTTTCATGAAATATTCTCGTTCCCAAGTGTACTCTGGGCCATGTTTTGCATTCCAGCGAACCTTAGTAATAGGGATTTTACTGCTCCTCAACCGTTTAACTTCTCGGTCCAGTATCTTGATTGGTTCTTCGACGAAGTGTAACCGATCGTTAATTTGAATGTCGTCCAGGGGTAACACTATTGTTTCATCCGTTAGGAATTTCTTCAGATTTGACACATGGAACGTGTCGTGGATGGCGCTTTGATTTTGTGGTAACTTTAACTTGTACGCCACTGGTCCGATTCTTTCGAGTATTTCAAATGGACCAATGTATCTAGGACCCATCTTGCCTCTCTTCCTGAAACGTACTAGTCCCTTCCATGGCGATACCTTTAAAAGTACTTTATCCCCCACTTGGAATTCTAAAGGCTTTCTCCGATTATCCGCATAACTCTTCTGACGGTCTCTTGTTGTCTTGAGTCTCTCCTTGATGATTGAAATCTTGTCGGTGGTTTCCTGAATAAAATCGAGCGTTGTCAACTGTCTATCTCAGATTTCTACCCAGCTAAGCGGCGATCTGCATTTACGTCCGTATAGAGCTTCGTACGGTGCACATTGTATGTTGGTGTGATAGCTGTTGTTATAAGAGAATTCAACAAGGGACAGATGGGTATCCCAACTCCTACCAAAATCTATTGCGCACGCACGCAACATATCCTCTAGCGTTTGAATAGTTCTTTCCGATTGTCCATCTATTTGAGGATGATAGACGGTGCTATAATCCAAGCGCATACCCAATGCCTTTTGAAGAGACTGCCAAAATCGGGATGTAAAACATGTATCTCTATCCGAAATAATGGAAATAGGCACACCATGACGTGTAACTATTTCAT